TTTTTTCTCTAATTCTTCACTTTTTGTTTCATTCTTGTTGGTTCTGTTTGACTAAAACATTGTTTGACCCAGTAAAAGTGGTTCTGAAGCAGCCCCAGCCTCAGAGGAACTGATGAATAACTTGCAATTTAATCACATTCAGTTTTCAGTTGATAGCAAAAAATAAATAAATATAAATAAATAAATAAAAAATCCTCTACATCTTATACAAAAATTGACATCTTGAAGAAGTTACGTTTAAACTCAGATCGTAACCTCCCAGTTATGGATCCCCATGTTGCATTGTGTGTGTCAGAGTGTAACGTTTCACAAACCACACAAACATTTCATTGATTTGTGCAACTTTCTGCATTCCCCTATAATCTTGTCTGTGGCAGTCGTGCGTCACTGTTAAAGGAAAGCGACTCATGCTGAAGCTGTCTGGTTGAACTTGGCCTGCAGCATTCATGTCTTCCTCCTCGTTTGCCAGTCAGATCTGCTCTATAATTAGGCTCCTGGATGTCGTCACCCGGGACTGAGACGGTGAAGCTTTTTGAAGGTAGCAGACAGAACCTGTATGGGCTCGTTGGTCGGAGAGTGGACAAAGCTGTGCTGCAGGCCAGRTAACAACATCTACCACTCTGTAGGCTTTCTGTTGTCACACACTGTGGCTTTTAATCAAAAACAGAAATGTGGAATTTAAAGAGGAAACTGGGTTTTAACAGGCACTTATTATTGAGATATTTTTTTTCTTCCATACATTTTTTTTTGGCACAAATCTCAATTTTTGTGTTATTATTTATCAAACTGTTCAACTCCTTCAGGACATTCCAGTTTATACTTTTTGAAATATTTAGTTTTTTTTGTCCAAATTGAAAATGAATGGAGCTGTCTTCAACATCCTAAAAACTCTTCATAAATCTTTACTGCACTTTACCTTTTGTTCTGGTTCTGCTTTTTAAAATTTCTTTCTTTTGGCTTCTATTCTCCTGATTTTAGCTTCTTTTTTTGGGCTTTTTTTAGCTATTGTTCTAACCTTTTATTGCTATTCTTCTGCTTATTAAGACGTTTTGTTCTTTCTGCCAATGTAAGCTTTTTTTCTTTTTGACATTTAGTCATTTTAGATGTTTTCTGTGTTTTTAGCTAATTTGAGCTTTTTTCAGCTATATTTGCTTTTTTGTGATAATTTCAGCTTCTTACTGCTTAATTCAGCAAACGTGCTCTTTATAATTTTGTGCTAATTTGATCTATTTTAAGCCATGTTTTTAAAGCTATTTAAGACAAATATCTTTCAGCATTAAGCATCTACACTGCATTTTTTTTTTTACTGGAAATGCAAATGCTCTACTTATTTGTTACCGTTTTACCCTGTTTTGTCCACATTGACCTGTAAGCTGTAATGAACCATGAAGTTAAGTTTTCTGTCCTTATCGACTCATGATTTAAATGGGTTTAAGCAGATATAATGTACACAGATACACTGATAATAAAATATACAGTTAAAGCAGAAGGCTTCATGATTATTCAGATAGAGGTTCCTCACCGGTTTTCAGGAGTTTCTTCATCTCTTTGTCAATTTTAAGGAGATTTTGTCCAATTTTTTTTAAAAAGTTGAACGAAAAGCAACTCAACATGACACCTAATGTTTCATCTTTTCTGTTCCCAGTTTTAGATGATTTCGTTCAGACAGTCTCTGTGTATAAGTCGCTGCAAAATAAAACAAGTGGCCAACTGTACAGTGATTGTATTTTGTTCCCCTCTCAGTGTTCAAACATAGCTGTATTACAGAGTCTGCTGTGATTGGACTCTGACAGCGAGCTGCAGAAACTGCCCCTGCTGACCACTCCATACACCCGTAAGAATGACGGAGCACAGACGTTTCTGACACACCACTGAGAGACGTTTGTCGGGGGTTAAATCATCTGTGAAATTACATAGTTTCAGTCCACTTCTTAGGCCCCAGAGAGATGAAAATCTGTTGGACTTCAAAACAAAAATCCAGGAGTTTAAATTCAGCTCAGAGCTGCTTTCAACCTGGAGAAAGTGCTCCTTTTAAATTGTGAAGTTGAGCACAGAAAATCCTATTTTCTCTACATGTATCTGCTGCTGGTTTGAAAAAAGAATGTAGTTTTACAGAAAAACTGTTCAGTGTACATTATAAATGTTATTCCTATCACCAGTAATGTTTTAATGTTGTGTGCTTGGATAAGAGTATAAAATCTTTACTGTTGTCGGTGATGCTAAACTGGTTTCTCAGTTGTGATCTTGTCTGTTTCAGGTCACTCCAGTGTGAACTATCAGCCCCAGGAGACTCGCTCTCGGCTGTCCAAGACGGTAGACCAGGTTCTACGAGACAATGTAGCGATGCCCCACTACACTCACTTCATGGAACAACGGGGCGCAGACCACCTGGTTCGCTTCTGGCTCGAGGCCGAGAGTTTCCGCTCTACCAGCTGGTCACGAGTCCGAGCGCAAAGCCTCAACTCCGTCAAGCACAGCTCGTTGGCCGAGCCGGTCGCCGTCTCTCCTGACGGCCCAGAGCTCATTCAGCACGTAGCCAACGACCTCGCTCGCAACAATATCGGCGGAGGGTCTTCTTTGGTGCCTGACCYTCGGGATTCCTCCAGCTCAGAGTCAGACCTGAGACCCAACACGTCCCGATCAGAGACCCCCATCAGGAGGACACCTTCCAGGACAGGGACACCATCCAAGGGGCAGCCAAACAGGACTCTAAGAGATCTCTCTGACCAACTCATGAAAAGTAAGTCTTCACTTRGAGCTGATTGTTGTCCCTCTGTACCAGAAGTATACGTACAACCAGAGGAACAGTGCTGTAGTTAAAATTTTTCACTTTGTTTCTTATCAAGTTGGTGATGATAAAACCTTTATTTCTCCTTAGTTGATTCCTTAATCATTTCCAGTAATCTGAAATAATTAGTCACGTAAAATGACCGTAAGYATTCTTTGTTTTTCACCGGATGATGAGCTTTTGTTTATTTTGTGTCTTTGCAGATATAGAAAAGGATGCTGTAAACATTTTTACCAAGTACATCTCTCCAGACGCCGTGAGGCCGATCCCCATCACAGAACAGATCAGAAATGACATCATTGGTAAGAGACGCACGATAAGTCTATGAAAATGCACAAGTTTTGTATTTCTATCCTTCTTTAGGCTAGTCCTGACTTTTACCCTAAACCAGGGGTCTGCAACCAGCACCTCTGGGGGCCTCGTGCTGCTCTTTGAAGCTTTTACCAAATGTACCATGAGNCCACTTTCTTTATTTCATCCAGCATTAAACAGAGAGCGGCAGAGGAAAACAGAGGGGCTTCCCGACAGTCCGAACACGTCTGACCTAAAGAGCACAAGCAGCTAACTTGAAGCGCTGGACGCGTTTTGGATGCTCCAAACGTAGCTTYAATACCTTTTATTTATTTTAACTCCATCCTCTTTTTTGCTTATTTGATTTAAACTCATTTGCCTTCCATTGACCTCCATCACACAATTTTTCTAGTGGYGAAATGACATCAATAGAAACACYTGGAGTAGAAACAGAGTTGGTTATTGATTAGTTTTAGATTTGTTGAGGTTGATTGTTTCCCTTCTTTCCTTCCAGGCTCCATGTTTTCTCAAGCGATGAAGAAATGGGTTCAAGGCAACTCAAACGAGGTGAGGAAGGAAGTTTGTAAGATTATTTGTTGCACGTGTCCACGTTCCCCTCAGTTTGCAGTACTGTGGCTGTCAAAGAATATAAATGATTATTTTTGCTGTGATCCTTGAATTCAAGGCTCAGGAGGAGATGGCGTGGCAGATCGCCAAAATGATCGTCAACGACGTCGTCCACCAGTCAAACCACGACAGCCCCGGAAAGTCCACCAAGGTAGAACGCCTCACTCTGTGTCTCTTATGTGTCCTTTTTTTTATTTTTATTAATTTTTTTTCTTCCTGTAGTTATGACCCCACTAAGGAACCAAAGGTCCCTCACACCCTGCAGACACAGGCCAAGCCAGGGATGAACTGTAGCCGGGCTTTACACCCCAACGAACTGCATTACTCCTAAAAGGAACAAAGTATTTTATCACCTCCCCAGTTGATGTGTGAGAGAGAGAAAGAGCGTGGATGAGTGATTGTTCAGGCCTGGACCAACTCAAAACTTGAAGTAAAACCATTGTTCAATCTTCCAACTCTGTAACACTATGAAGCTGCAGCCGTAGGCGACCAGAGTGAAGGAAAAACACTCCTGTGGACAGAAACGACTGTCCTGTTCCCTGCCTCGTCTCCCATCCCACGGAGGATGTGACCAAGACTGAAGAGTGAAGCTCGCTGCCCCGTGGTACACGTCTCCACACCTTTTTTTATAATCATCCTTTGATTTTTACATGACCTCCTCTTGCAGCGGTCCGTCACTTGGCGTGGTATACAACTGATTTTGTTTTTGTGGATACTACTGGCACAGTCCATGTGGAATGATTTCGTCATCTCTTCACAGAAGTTCGGTGTCCTACGTTGWCCGTTAATGTACTGTAGAACACCTCGCAATAGACGGTGACAGAAGAAGAGCAGGTTTATTTCTTTGACTGTCTTCGTTCACATAAAAGCACCTTTACAGAGCGTAGAATAAATACTCCCTAATGAACTTAAAGTGCTCCAGCTGTGTTGGAAAACTCCCAACTTTGTGACCTAAAGGTTCTACACACATATATAAATAATTTTATTTTTTTTTAAAACAAAAAAATTTATATAATAAAAAAAAAAAAAAAAAAAAAAAAAAAATAATAATAATAATAATAAATGTTAAATGTCATATATTTTTAGTTTTATAATATTGTTTGATTGCCAAGGTTGACCGCTGCCCCACCGCTCAGTTCCCACCTTAGTCCTAAACTTAACCCCTAACCCAAACATGGCATTCCACCACATTAGACAATCTGTGGTCCTAAAAAGTTAAAAAGCAGGTACACACATACAAACATCAAGCTTTGTTGCTTTATTACTCTGTGTAATAATCTATGTGTTTAAGTCATAAAAACTGTGACTCCTAAAATGWATTTTTCAGAAGTCCAGAGTTTTTTTGTGTTTTCTCTCTGTGTGTAGCTAAAATATGTGGTGAAGATGGCATGGTGGACCCAAACTGCTTTGTCATTGCACAGTCGGTGGTCTTTGACATATTGGAGGAAGAGTGAGTTTCTGTTTCAGTTTTTTTTTTCTTTACCGTTTGCTCTGCGAGGTTCCCGTTACTGCTTTACCACCTCGACATCTTGGCTGCCGGCTGTCTTCACCTCCCACTCGCTCTCTGATTTTCAGGCACTTTAGTGAATTCCTGCGGAGCCATCATTTCTGTAAATACCAGATTGAAGTGTTGACGAGTGGCTCCGTGTTCCTGGCTGACATCTTGTTCTGTGAGTCAGCTCTCTTCTACTTCTCGGAGGTGAGTGGGCCCAATTTTCATGTTTGTGTTTTTTGTTTTTAAACACACAGTTTGCACCGCCTGTTGACTTCTTGTCATCAAAAGCACAAACGTCAAGATTCAGCAAAGATATCAAACCACACATGAAGCAAAGAAGGGGTTTTTATTSGCCTTTGTTTCTGTTTTCTGTGTCTCCTCCTTCACAGTACATGGAGAAAGAAGAAGCAATGAATGTACTGCAGTTCTGGTTGGCAGCAGATAACTTCCAGAACCAGCTAGCAGCTAAAAAGGGCCAGTATGATGGCCAGGAGGCTCAAAACGATGCCATGATTCTTTATGACAAGTAGGTCCTTTCCTCTGCTGTTTAATGTGATCAAGGTTCACAAATATGGTTTTAAATCAAGCAGACTGACGGACTTATTGTTGACTAAAATTGACAGAAGGGCAGTTTTATTGTTGTCGACTTGTAATAATGGAGTWGTTCTATGTATTTAGAAAGCTTTTTACCGTCTATTCATTATTTGCACAGCCTATATGAGTATTTCAGGATACACTGCACGGTTTTTCTTTTGTATTTCTATAACTACAAATGGGACAAACAAGTAAAAGTAACTGTTTACTATGTTTCTGGTAGTAAATGCTGCTGTGGTCGCCCACAAGTCAGTAAAACACAACCTTGGTTTCGAATGACAGTTTTAAAGTTTTGAGTATTTGTCTCATTAGAATTAAAGTCTTCGTCTTAATCTGAGCTCAGTTGTTCTCTGTTTTCTCTCCAGGTATTTCTCGCTCCAGGCTACAAACCCTCTAGGCTTTGGCGACTCTGTGCGGATGGAGATAGAGTCCAATATTTGCAGGGAGGGTGGGCCTCTCCCCGAATGTTTCACCACTCCACTCAGACAGGCCTGGACAACCATGGAGAAGGTCAGATTATCTGATAATCAGACTCTGTAGCAATCAGAGTAGCTTAATCCTGAATGTGGACTCGGGAATTACTCAACATCTAAAAAGCTTGCAGAAGAGGAACAGGAATTTTTGTTATCAAAGATGCCAAAGCATAAAAGTTATTTTGTTTCCACCTTGGGTTTTTGATTCTTTACTCTTCATGTGTTGTTCTGAGAAAAAAAAAATCAAAACAATACAAAAAACACAAGACATGCAGCATGATAAGGAACACTGTGTCGTGGCATTTAGTAGATGTTATGTTATGTCGCCTAGAAAAAATTAAATGTGGAAAATTATTTGAAAGACAACAATAAATCTTTGACAGTGGATTTTGGAGCTGTGTAGGTCATCTGTTCTTCACAGTACAAACAGATAAATTCAGAATTTGATCACAGAACATGGACATTTATATGACWGAATTGGTATTTTGATATTGTTTGATTTTTACACTCTTTCACWTTTAGGGTTCAATGAAGATTTTACCACAAAATGTTCATCTTAAAYTGCTTGTGACATGCYRAMCACTGAAATACAAAAAGTRAAAGGAAACATCTTTATATTTAKGAAATTTGACTTAATTCGTATGATTTTTTTTTAACTCAATTTGTCTCATTGTGGCAAGTTTTTTTTAAACTTGGCTCAACTAAAGTGAAACAGGAAGTGACATCAAAGGGGAYCTCCTCGGTCTTTATTTATTGAAACAATCTTATTTGAACTCTGACTTCTTCTTCATCTCTAACTGATAGTGACTGAAAATAATCTAAAGAAACATCAGATTCTTCTCTACAGTCTGTGTTGTCAGCCGTTGTAGCAACTCTGTTTACATGCAGACATTCCCCTTTGACATCACTTCCTGTTACTTCACATTCAAATARCTCAACAACTGTTCATCTCATAGCGTAAAACATTTATTTTCCAATGTGTCATCAATGTTATCTTTCCAAAAATGCATTTATACTTATTACAAATATTTAATGTCACAGTGCAACTTTTAAACCACCTAAACTTTCCAAGACATCCATGTAAATACTTCTTATTTTCACAATTTATACATTTCCTTTCACACACTGTGTCGTTCATTGTTAAGGGAACAAAATCTTTTTTCTGAAATTCCTTAGGAGTGTGGACAAAACTCGTTGATTTACTTTGTATCTGAGCTCAGAATTTTCTCATTAAAACTAGAAGTGTTGTTGGGAGACAGGAGCGTGTTTAACAAGGTAGCTTCAGTTAGCTACTGGCAGCAGCTTTAACATTTATTTTGATCTTGTTTGCATTTTTGTGCAGTTTTTACATCAAAATGTTTGCATTTTGTCAGCTTGGATTATAGCAAACGTAAATCCCGAATTATGATWGGGTTTTATAGAAATAAGTTGTTGAATGTTAAGGCTCCTGTTATACTGTAACATTTTAGACAACTTATGAAATTTTTTTATTGTGAATTTAGTCACGTAGATTATATATACATGCTAGTTGTTGTATGTGTACATCCAAGTCTTCCAGTAGTTTTTATTATTCCGTTTTCAGTGTTTGTCATAAGCTGTCAAAGTGTGTCAGGGCCTTTAGAATTTGGAGCAGAAGCTGCTTTAACACTATTCAGAATATKTTCACGAACTTCATAGTTATGCAATAATTTTCTTTAAAACATTTAGAGATGTGTGAATTTATAAAATTTGCCTTTATGCTATTTRGAAGTGATGATTTTCCTTTAAAATGTCTTGTCTCGCTAATAAATTGTGCAATATACTCAAGTGACAAATGAGCCTGCTTTAATCAAATAAAAGCTGGAAACTTATGAGCGAGGAAAGGTCAGAATCGTGCACAGACACAGGATTAGATTATTTAGCACCAGTGTTCATTGTGTTTCTGTGCAGGTGTACCTGCCCGGCTTCCTGTCGAGCAACCTTTACTACAAATACCTGAGTGACCTCATCAATTCGGTGCGGGCCGATGAGTTTGTGAATGTCAGCTCTCAAGGTCAGGGCGGCCCCGCGGACAACGACCGCTCGGGTTCAAACAGCAGCGAGGTCTCTCAGAATCAGGTGAGCTCAGAACGTCTCCGTCCCTCCCTGGGGCTGTTCTCGGTCTGCTGACATTTAGACCCATCCTGCCAGATGACAGGAATAACGAGGTCCTGGTCGTTCCTCTCATTAAACCAAGTAACGTCACATGACTTCCTGCTCTACTGTTGTGTCGTTCACCACAGCAAGGTGCCAAAAAAGCCGTGATCAAGATTCTGAAAAACTTTGACGAGGTGATCACCGTAGATATTTCCAGTTTGGACCCCGAGACGTTGTACCAGCGGCCATATGCAGGGTGAGTTTTAGTGTTACTGGATTATTTAATCACAGATGATTAATCTGTAAAATGAGACCGTGCAAGTCCACTTCTAAATTTACATTTTAATTGAWAATGTTTTAATTTCCCTTTTTATCAAAATAAGGTCATCCTGTTGTTTTATCAAATGAGATTTTCTTTCCCCTTCTTACTAAAATTGCAGCTGTGCTTTAATGGGTTTTCTCCTTTTTGCTCTGTCGACTGTCTTCATTGTTTCTTGTCCTTTTCGTCATCACAGCAAGATGACTTTTGGGAAGGTGAATGAGTTGGGCCAGTTCATCAGAGAGGCTGAACCAGAACCTGATGTGAAGAAGTCCAAAGGTAGAGGACAAACGCACGCTTTTTCCTCTTCTTTTTCACTTCCCTGTCCTGGTTGTACTGACCAACACCTCWTAAAATATATCCAGTATATTTCTATATTTTTTTCTACTAGCATTTCAGTTTTTTATGATTTTTAGTAGGGCTGGATAAAAAATTGATTTAATCGATCTTGGAACGATTTCATTTAAATTTTTAGGGTGGTAATTATGCTAATCTCCTCTTCTCGTGTGTGAGCACCTGATACACATTCATCAGCTTACGCAGCTCATTTACACACTTTTCCTGAAGATAGAAGAGTTTGTTGAATCTGACGTGACATGTTCGTACAAAACCTTTGTATGAACAAAAGTAAGAGAAATTTAGGATAAGAATACGAACATGTTCTTGCATGAGGCCCATTGGACCTACTTATGAGCCCCCCGCTCACACGAGTTCTTGACCCACTCACCGTACCATAGCATTGTCCAAGGAGGAGTCTGACTTCTGAAGAGTGTGGAGCTCAATCGGACAGATTTGTGATGGATGCAGGGACAGAGAGCAGGCTCTGGCAGTGAGAAAGCTGTCCTGCTGTACCAGTATTTCTAGTTGACATCACTACAGTWCCAATCATCAGGATGTAGAACACATCAGCTGTGAACAGGGTTGTAGTCTTATTCAGGCTGAGACGTGTGAAAGGTTTTGGCACYTATTATTTCTCCTGACTGACCAAACACACAGTTTCTGATTGTTCTCACTTTCAGCATCTTGTACCTATCACCTTGCAACAATAAAAACAAAGCTGTAACTAGGGATGGGTACCGAATTCGATACTTTTTTATGCACAGACCGAATTCTGTCGGTACTACAGAGTATCTGTTCACGTAACATCAAACGGTACCAGGTTTCGGTACCTAAATGCATCATTGCGACCGGTTTGGCATAAGATTGGTGAGTTTTCCCTGCTTGTCCTGAACGCAGTATCACGCAAAAGCGTAATGACGTCAGCAGCAGCAGCGGCTGGTTCAGTCAGTAAACAGAGGCAGCAGAGCTCGGTCTGAACGGAGCATGAAAGCCTCGCAGCTCCTGGAGTAAAACTCTCCGAACAGACCGCCTCTGGATTATCTGCTGGATTAATGATCTGCTGGAATAATTATCTGCTGGATTAATGATCTGCTGGATTAATGATCTGCTGGATTAATGATCTGCTGGATTAATGATCTGCTGGATTAATGATCTGCTGGATTAATGATCTGCTGGATTAATGATCTGCTGGATTAATGATCTGCTGGATTAATGATCTGCTGGATTAATGATCTGCTGGATTAATGATCTGCTGGATTAATGATCTTGTGAACACGTCGTTCACTTGCTCAAAGTAAATAAAGTACAGCACTTTCTTTATGTCATCCAGCAGTAACCAGAGCAGCAGAGGAAACCAGAGGAGCTTCCTGACAGTCTGAACACGTCTGACCTGAAGAAAACAAGCTGTTAACATGAAGTGTTGGACGGTTTTAGATGTTCAAAATGTAGCTTAAATACCTTTTATT